TGCAAAAAAAAAACACTAGAAATCATTGAAATATTGCCAAAATCACAAAAAAAAAAAAAACACTGACAATCACCAAAATATACCCAAAACTGCAAAAAAAAACACCATCACTGTCCGCGGCGGGGGATCTCCCGTGGAGAATCTGGCCCCGATTCCCCACCAGAGACCATCCGCCGCGGACGGGGCCCGACACCATGCCAAACGGGACCTCCCGGGGCGGGTTTTCGAAGGGGCCCGACACAATGTGAAAAGAAAAAGGCCCGACACCATGCCAAACGGGACCTCCCAGGACCATTACTACCCAAAACTGCAAAAAAAAACACCAGCAATCATTAAAATATAGCCAAAATCTCAAAAAAAAAAAAAAAAAAAAAAAAAAAAAAAAAAAAAAAACACTGAAAATACAAAAATATCCCAAACAACTGCAAAAAACACTGAAAATCATTTAAATATGCCCGAAAAAAAAAAACACACTAGCGGGGGGTCTCCCGTGGAGAATCTGGCCCCGATTCCCCACGGGAGACCATCCGCCGCGGACGGGGCCCGACACCATGCCAAACGGGACCTCCCGGGGCGGGTTTTCGAAGGGGCCCGACACCATGTCAAATCCAAGGCCCGACACCATGCCAAACGGGACCACGGGCCAGAAGCGCCCCTGGGCCCGACACCACCCCAAACGGGACCTCCCGAAAACAGGTTTTCGGTGCGTGACACCATGCCAAACGGGACCTCGGGGGAAGGCGCTCGTGGGCACGACACCATGCCAAACGACCCCCCCGCCGCAGACGGAGCCTTCGGGGCCTTCGGGGAGCCCCCAATGGGCCTGTCCGCGGCAGAAATAGCGTCTGCGCCGGGAATAATAGCGTCTGCGCCGGGAATAGCGTCTGCGCCGGGAATAGCGTCTTCGCCGGGAATAGCGTCTTCGCCGGGAATAGCGTCTTCGCCGGGAATAGCGTCTTCGCCGGGAATAGCGTCTTCGCCGGGAATAGCGTCTTCGCCGGGAATAGCGTCTTCGCCGGGAATAGCGTCTTCGCCTGGAATAGCGTCTGCGCCGGGAATAGCGTCTTCGCTGGGAATAGCGTCTTCGCCGGGAATAGCGTCTTCGCGGGAATAGCGTCTTCGCCGGGAATAGCGTCTGCGCCGGGAATAGCGTCTGCGCCGGGAATAGCGTCTGCGCCGGGAATAGCGTCATATTCCCCGGGAATGGGGATCCCCGCCGGGAATAGCGTCTTCAGGCACATTTGCGTCTTCAAACGGAATTGCGTCTTCAAGCGCATTTGCGTCTTCACCCTGTGGTTGCGCAATTGCGTCTTCAAAGCGATTAGCGTCTTCACCCGCTCGACCGCCCCTGGCCAATAGCGTCTTCAAATAGCGTCTTCGTCTTCAGGCCTTTTGGGGAACCCCGTGTGCCACCTCAATGTATATATAGATAACAATAACAGAGAGAGAGAGAGAGACACACACACATATGATACCATCTTAACACCACCCAGAGCCACCTCGAGACACTCTGTATGATTCCTTAGGTGCTTGTGCATGATGGGGGGACTTCACAGGGCCTGCCATCATAGGGTAGGTGGGTGTGGGACAGCTGCAGTGGATGGGTTTAGGCGGGCATGCACATATACATTGATACCACATTACGTGGTGTGCACTGAGATGTCCGATTGGACATGCATGATATGATCGACGCAGGCCTTCGCGATCTACCTCTGGCAACGCGTTTCCTTCCAGATGTGGATCCTGCGTAAACTGCGTCAGACTCTTGCTCCCCAAGCCACAGCCCCCGGTGAAGTACATCACCTTCGCGCTCCCCACGCCACACCCCGTGAACTTCATTTCAGACTCGCACTCCCCAAGCCACAAACCCGTGCAAATTACACCAGATTCGCGCTCACGAGGCCAAAACTGCACGCATTCTGCAACAAGCTCGTGCTCCCAAACCACCATTCGATAAAACTGCAATGCGTCGGCGCTCCCGAGGCCAGCCTTTCTGACAAGTTACCCCACGATTGCGCCCCCAAGCCGCGCCAGGTTTGCGCTTCTGGCAAACTGCAGCCAGCTTGCGCCCCCGAAGGCCAAACCCTTTGCCGTTGCTACGCCACACTCGCCGGACGTGGCCCCCCTGCTGGTGTAGGGCGACGGTATATATATATATATATATATATATATATATATATATATATATATGCACTGCTCCATGGCCTGGACCATCCCGAATCCAGCAGCGGTCCATACGCCATGCCCTCCTGGCTTGGCCAGGAGGGCGTATGCACAGATCCTCGGTTCAGGATGGGCCTGGCCAGGGAGCAGCGGACCCCGCCCCCCGACGTGTTGTTTTTTTTTCGTGGCGTGACCCCCAGGAGCCTGGCCCCCCTTCCCGGGGACCTGCTTTGCATCCTGAGCCGTTTCTTGTTGACAGTCCCGAGGCTGGGCGAGGGCCCCTGGAGGCCCGAAACAGCGAAAAACCTCCCGTCCCGATTTTTTTCCGACGCGAAGGGGGGCCTGGGGATCTGCCTAGACTGCGTCGCCCGACGGTGGTGGCGGCTTCTTGCCTCTCCTTCCCCCCGGCGCCCGGGCCTGCCGCTGCGGCGCGGCGGGCGCGCTGCCCGCCCCCCCGGGGGAGCGGCCGCTCATGCACAGGAGCGCCGCGAGGCGAGGGCGCGGTGGAGACCCCCCCCCCCCCCGAGCAGAGTGGCGGGGGCCGCCGGCATCCCTCGATGACTGCGTGCCAGGCCACCCCACCCCAACTCCGAGGCCCAAATGTCGAGCAGGGGGAGGCCACGGGTTCCGCACGCGTTTGCTTCTTCCAGCGTTCCCCGACGCCCCTGCCCCTAACGGGAACGGAAGGCGCACATTGCGGCCTCCGGGTTGGGCTGGGGTGGTGCGGCTGGTGTTGACCCGAGGCACGGAACGAAACGGAGAGCGCAGGGCACAAGACATCTGGCGCAGTGCTGGAGCTGCCTGCCTCTTCGAGGGGCCCCCTTGGCACGAGCTCTCTTCGGGGCTGCGCCCCTGCGCTTGCGCATGGGAAGGGGCTGCCACTGCGGCCGAAGGGAAGTGCGCACCATCGTAGAGTCGGATCCTCACACGTGCCCCCACCGAAGAGAAGTGCGCACCACCGTGCAACAGCGCCAACTCGTGTTTCAGAATTTCGAAGCGAATCCGGCCGTGGCGACGAGCGCCTCCCAGTAGGCCAAAAACGGCAAAGACCAAGTAGGAGTAACGGTATCGGTACCTTGTCCTGATCTAGTGACCGGGGTAAAACACACGCTGGGCTAACATATGTGTAAATGCACGTGTGTACATGCACACGCACCCATACAGATATACATATATATATATATATACATACATACATACACCCACATGAGGGGACCAAACGGTCATTCACTGTCGCTGGGTGCGTGGGGTTGAAGTGGGGTTCTGCGATGCGGACTGTTGTTGTTGCTGTTGTTGTTGTTGTTGCTGTTGTTGTTGTTGTTGTTGTTGTTGTTGTTGTTGTTGTTGTTGTTGCGTTGCGCTGTTGTCGTCCTCGCCCGCGACCCGCCTGCGACCCACCTACGACCCACCTTGTGCCGCACCTTGCTGCCCACACACGACCCACCAGCGCCGATGCCTGTGACCCAACCACGACCCACCCACCCTCGAAGAAAACATTGTCGCCTGCGGCGGGCTCGCTGTGCAGTGTGTACAAAATATCAGCGCCTGGGGCGGGCGGCGGGCTCGCTGTGCAACGTGCAAGACACATCGGCGCCCGCGGCGGGCTTCTTCAGAACTTCGCAGATTGCCGACGAACCCGCCCCCCCCTTCACTTTTATCCGCAGCTGCGGGCGTCTGTATAAAAAATATGATCTCCCCGCACGCTCCCCCCGAGATGGAGATATAGGCTGCTCCCTTCGGGTTTCGAGGGGCCTATCCCCAACTGGGGTAAGGATGGTGAGGCTGAGATACCACGGCCCAGTGGGGACTGGGATTGGCTCAAGACGAAGCCAAGACGAGGATATCAAATCGGGTGCGGATCAATCAAGAATCTCCGAGATCCGGCGGCTCTGGAGAACGCCTACGGGGCTCCGCGGCATCCCCAGAGCGTTCCGGAACGAACGCTCTGGAACTGATCTATCACCGCCCTCTATTGAGCGGGGGCCGGCCGTCCCGGCATTCCTATAGACCTACCACGAAATAGAACAGAAACCCGATGTAGTAAAACAGGGCAGTCCCAGCCAGAAATGCTCTGAGAACACCTCGTAGAAACCACACCAGGTTCTCAGAACATTGTCTGGTGGGCCTCTAGGCACGCCAGGACGCTTCGCCACTGCTCGACTATGGCCCCGTCCGGTTGCCCTCAGGTTCGGGCATGTCAACCTACAGGCGGAGCTTGGAGGAAAGAAAGCCAGCAACTACGGGAATTCATCGAACAATCATCCCCAGAGTGATGGTGCACTGCTTCTGAATCTTCCGCCTGCAGAGGGCCACGCCCGACCTAAGCTGACCCCCTTGTGCTCGCCGCCGAGGGGGCGGGGAGCGCCCTGGCGGGCCGCGGGGCGCGGCGCGGCGCGCCCCCTGCGCTCGAGAGGCCCGCCGCGGCCCGCCTGCGCGACGTCGGTCTCGCCGGTGCTGGGCGCGAGCGTCGGCCTGCGCGAGGCGCCGCGGCGGCGCAAACTGGCGCGCGCGCGCGCGGTCACGATGACGATGACGACGGTCGACCGACGACGACGACGACAACGACGACGACGACGACGACGACGACGACGACGACGACGACGACGACGACGACGACTACGACGACGACGGCCACTACGACGACGACGGCCACTACGACAACGACGGCCACGACGACGACGGCCACGACGACGACGACGACGACGACGCCGGTCGACGACGACGACGACGACGACGACGACGACGCCGGTCGACGACGACGACGACGACGACGACGACGACGACAACGACGGCGACGACGACGACGACGACGACGGCGACGACGACGACGACGACGACGACGACGACGACGACGGAGCCCTTGGGCGCTTCTGGGCCCCTTCGGGCCCTCGCGGGGGGGGCCTCCCCCGCCCGCAAGAATTAGATACGTAGCACCCCGCAGCTGCGGATAAGAGCGAGGGGGGCGAAGAAGCCCGCCGCAAGCGCCTCATTCTTACAAATTCCACAAACAACATGGGTGGGTCGCCGGGTGGGTCGCGGTGGGGTCGAGGGCCAGGTCGCGGGCCGGGTCGCGGGTGGGTCGCGGGTGGGTCGCGGGCTGGGTCGCGGGGGGGTCGCGGGGGAGTACCGGGCAGGGTCGCGGGGGGGTCGCGGGTGGGTCGCGGGCGGGTCGCGGAGTGGGTCGCGGGGGGGTCGCGGGGGGGTCGCGGGCGGGGTCGCGGATGGGTCGCGGGTGGGTCGCGGGTAGGTCGCGGGCGGGTGGCGGGGGGGACGATGACAACACACAACAAACAACAATAACAATCCGCACCGTAGGACCTCACTTCAAACACGCGCCCAGAGACAGTGAGTGACCGTTCGGCCCCCTCACTCGGATCATTCCCAGAGGAGTTCGGGGATGTGGCGGAGGGTCCTGGTCGTGGGTCTAGTATACAGAACTCTCTCCCTGGGGCGTGGTTTCTCCATACTGCACGTGGCCCCAGGCGGTGGAGTCTGAATGGGGCGGCGGCAACTACTGACTGGAGGGGGACTCGCGAAGGCCTCTGCGGGACCTCCGCTGCAGGGACTTCCAGAGGCCTCCGCAGGGAACACTGGAGAACTACGGAGAGGCAACGTCGGCTGGGGGGTGCCGGCGGGAGAACTTCAGCTCTCCCCGCATGCGAGAGAGGCTTCCGTCGCCGCGCTTTCATCATCGCCCCAAAAAGGGAGGGCGCGGGAGAAGGAGAGGGCGGAAGAGAGGAAGAAAATACAACCAACCCCAAGGTGATATGGCAATCTCAACCGCGAGGTGGTATTCCCCAAGAAACATCAAAGGAATACACCGACCACCGCTTTGCCGGGGTTGCAAAGGCGTGCGAGACGCCTGGGGCCGGAGACTGGATTGGTCAGCAGGCGCTGCGGCTTGCCCAAGACAGGCGCAGCGAAGCTGGCGTTGCCGGCTGGCTGCGCAAACTCGGAATCCATGAGATGAATGGGGCCGTTGTTGAAGTCAAAGACGGGGGCCAGCGCAGCCTTCTAGACAATGGCAGCTGCAACGAGCAAACCTCTATTCGTCTCCTTCAGGCCCAGGCTGTGCTGCATGTAAATGAAAAGTGAATCCACTTCTCCAAGCCCATGAAGTTCGACAATAACCCCAACCACCCATCCCTAGGGCATGAAAATGCATGCTTCCGTGGGGAGAAACACCGGGCGCATTCCGCATTCAAACCATCAGACCATCTCTGGTCAAAACGCAAAGTCCCGCTGATGGAGTCTGCATCGAACTGAATGCGCCGGTTTGAAACATTGCCTCCAAACTCTTCGCTCGCACCGCCGGCTTGCTTGCACACTGTTAGCCTCGGTGCGTAACTTCACCTCCAGCGCGCGCATAATGTGTCTGCTATCTGCGAGCGGGGCCTCGATCATCTGCTTGACGGCGCCCTTGCAGCTGCCGTTGCTCGCGAGGACGCTGACGGTGTTGCCCACCCTGCTCCCCCACGGCGCCGACCTCCATCTTGATGCCGAGGATCGCCTCGTGAACTGACTTCAGCCTCTTGGCCAAATCATCTGCACCGAAACATGCTTCCAGTTGCTATCGTGATACCGTGTCGAGCTCCTCCGCAGCCCTCTTCTTCAGCATGAGCTTGTTCTGGTCATCATCATCGTCGCCTGCTGGGAGGTCGAGCCCTCCAGTGCTGCCAGCAGGCTCTGGTTGTACTTGCGCTGCCGCCGCCGCCACATGACCAGCTGTTGGTGCTCCTGCAGGGCCTGGGGCAGGTGCCTTGAACGCCTGAACGCCTCCTCCATGGTCTGTCTGTTGGTGATCGCTCTCGCCGCCGCCTGTAGGGTCACCTGCAGCTACGCCCCCAAATCCTGAGCGCCCCCCAATGGCTCGCAATACTCGCTGATGGCCTTGACCTGTTTGGCGGCCGGCTGCTCAGTCTGCTGGTTCCAGCTGCCGATTTGGGCCCTCTGGGCGGCCATGCTGCGTCTCTGCTGCGTGAGCTGGTCCTTGATTGGTTGAATACGCCGATCTTGCGCCTTGTCCGCCCTGTTTGGCCCGGTTGGAGCCCCGATCGCATCATTGTGCGGCTTCGATCGTTTCATCACCCAGCCACTGCTTCCAGATTCCAGAACGCGACTCGTGCCTGTGCCAACTCCACAGGTGGCGGCCTCTACTTATTCTGTATATGGTAGCTGTTTTTGGACCTGGTGCATCATCTGCTACTTTGTGGGGAACTCGCGAACCAGCGCGCCGCCAGCGCCCGCGTCCACGTCCGTCATGCTCCTGCATAGGTTCAGCACATCAAGAGACTGCAAGATCACTGCGGCTGCGGAAGGGTCGGGGGCCTTGCTCATGGTGTCCGCCAGCTTCGTGCCGCACTTGATGCAACGACTGGCTCCTCGATCGGCCGAAGCCCAGCCACCACAGCTGAACTTGGGACATACCTTGCACCTGCGAGCCGCCATCGCGCCGCCGCCATCGAACACACCATGCGAAAGAGTGCGAGAGAGCCCCTCTGGCACAAAGTGACTGTGGGCTTCTACAGCTTGGCCGTAATGCTAGCCGAGGCAGTGGGGCCTTGGGAATTGACTGCCCTTCCATCTCAGCCTCGGCACTCTGGAGTTGGGACGGGAGGTAAGTTCCGTCTTGAACCAACAAAATGGCTGCGGGGGAGCATAAGGAGGGGAGGAGGAGGAGGGAGGGAGGAGGGGGACGGGGAGGAGGAGGGGGGAGGAGGAGAGGCGATAAGAAGGAGAGGGGGCATGAGGAGAAGGGGCGAGCGAGGAGGAGAGGGAGGAGGAAACAGGAGAGAGAGAGAGAGAGGAGAGAGAGAGAGAGGAGGAGGGCGAGGAGAAGGGGCGAGAAGGGCGAGGCGAAGGCGGGGAAGGAGCAGGGTCGGGGGCCACCGGCGCTGGGCATCGTGACGCCCGCGGCCCCCACGCGCCGCTGCTTTTCTGCCGAGCCGCCGGGTGCGCCCCTGCCCGGCGCGCGGTCGCCGAGGCCCCCGGCAACGGGAGGGCCTGCGGCAAAAAAAATGTGCCCGGCGGGCGCGGAAGGCAGACTTAAGCCGCCCTCCTGCGCAACAGGCTGCTCCACCTCATGCTCCTGCTGCCGTGGACCTCCTCCTCCTCCTCCTGTTCCTCCTCCTCCTGCTCCTCCTCCTCCATCCTCGTGCGTGATCCTCCACCACGTGCGTATGCGCATCCTCTATGTATCGTTACATGTGCATGTGTACAGATACGTACATACACACAAACATACCTGCATTCGCCTCTTATGCATGTATGTATATGCGTATGTGTTGCTACCGCGCGTAACGTTCGCCATCATCTACTTCATTTGAAGCTCTTGTGCACCTGCCATGAATAGTGATATAAGCTCTTATCTTGCACTGTCAAGCTCAACGTATGTACCTCCTCCAGTCATTATGTATATATATATATATATCTTTCGCAGAATACATACGTAAACTAAAACTTGCCCCCCTCGCACACCCAAACGACGGACTGGGGGGTCCATCCTCCACATCCTTATCCTTGTTCCTCTTCCTCTCCCTGTTCCCTCTTCTTTCCCTCTCTCCTCCTCAACTCTCGTCCTCCTCTCTACCCCTCGTTCCTCCTCCTCCCTCCTCCTTCCTCCTCATCCGCCTCCTACTCTTCCTCATCCGTCTCCTCATCCTCATCCTCATCCTTCCGCTCCCATCACCATTCATCATTGTTCTTCTTCCCATCTCCTCATCTTCCTCATCACCGATGCGTTCCACTTATTTCTGCGTTCGCCATCCCCCCATCTGCGGAATTATCTGGATCTGGATATGACAACATATTAGAATCCTATTCCGATTCGATATGAACCTTCTGGATATGGGATCTTACCCGCTTCTAGTGAAGACAGGTGATGAGAATACGATCCAAACTCAATAGGTATCCTCTGTATCCAGGGTCTGCTCATTTCCTTTTGGAACCAATCAGGAAATCTGGATCGAATTCACAACGAAGTCTTTGGATCTGGGATCTGCCCCGTTTCACTGAAATTCGATTCGAGTCCGATTCAAATCTACTGGGACTCCCCTGGATCTGAGATCTGTCCCGTTCCTATTGGAATCCGATCCTGGTCCTATTCATAGTCCGTAGGGGTCCTCTTGATCTGGGATCTAACTCTGCTCCACTTTTATTGGGGTTTGCCTCGAACCCCATTCAGATCCGTTCGGAATCCTCAAGATCTGAGATCACTTCCATAGCCCATTGCAATCGTATCAGAATCCGATTCCAATTCAATCGTGATCCTCTGTATATGGGATCTGCCCCGATTCTGTTGAAATGTGATGAGAACATCATTCGGATTCGATCGTACACCTCTTGATCTGGGAACCGGCCCTTCCCTTTGGAAGTTCGAGGATGCTCAGAAAAAGGGGGGGGGAGAGCGACCCCTCGACCATCTTCTCCTCAATCAGCCCCCAGCTCAGCGCGCACACCACGAGGGAGGAGGACGACGAGGACGCCGAGGACGAGGAGGACGCCGAGGCCGAGGGAGACGAGGCCGCGGCCGGCGTGCGTGCGAGCGGCGCGAGGCGACAGCCCCGAGCTCAGCGCGCGCGCCCGCGAGGGCGAACACCTCAGGCGGGCGCGGGACCACCTGCGCTGCCATCCGGGGGGGGGAGGCAGCTGGCTGGGCGCCTGGCCTCCACCACGAGGGGGAGGAGGGGTTAGTCATATGGAAAAGGGGAGGAGGAGGAGGAGGAGGAGGGGGAGGAGGAGGAGGAGGAGGAGGAGGAAGAGGAGAAGGCGGAGGAGCTCGTCCCCTGCCTACTCGAGCAGCACATCCTTCTTATCCTCCACCAGCCTCGCACCACCTCCAGAATTACAGATTAAGTATGAGTACTACTCTCATGTCTCCCCTGACCCTGTCCAGGAGATAATCGGCCCTCTCCGCGCACTCTTCTTGCACACACAGGATTTCAATGTTTGCTTAGCTGTTGGTTGCTGGCAGTCGGATTGTTGTTGGTGGTTCAAACAATGGTACTACCGCTGCAGCATAGGCCTCATTTTCGGATCGGCGCGTTGCTTCCACCGTTCAGAATGGCACTCTCGCCCCAGCGCGGTTCACATTTCTAGATCCGAATCCTTTTTTGACCGTTGTCGTCCCTCTCATTTCGCCTTCTCCGCCTTCCCGTGGCTCTCCTGCTCCTCCGACTCCTTTCACTGCAGCTCCTGTCGCTACTGTTCGTCCTTATCCCCTTTCTCTCCTCATCCTCCTTGTTTTCCTCAAGCCCATTCTCCTGCTCATCCGTCCTCTCCTGCTCCTGCTCCTGATCCTGCTCCTGCTCCTGCTCCTCCTCCTCCACCTCCTCCTCCTCAACTGTACGCAGCTCCCTTTTTTCCCGATCGCGCATAAAACGATGGGCTCCTCTTTAGAGTTCCAGGTCTGCTATGGCATGCGTCGGCAGATAAACAAAGAACAGCGCAATGGGAAGGGATGGGTGGGATGGCTAGGATTTAAGACATGGCGCGAGCACGCCTAGCTTGATCACCACATCTTCTCCGTTCCCGACCACCGCCCCATCGTCGTCGTCGCCATTGACGTCATTATTCCTCTCGTCTTCTTCCTCCTCCTCCTCCTCCTCCTCCTCCTCCTCCTCCTCCGTCTCCACCGCCTCCACCGTCTCCTCCGCCTACCTCATCGCCACACTGCTCAGCATCACCCGCTTCCACCTCATCCTTCATTATTCCTACCCTGATCATGCTCTTCCTCCTCCCCATCAACCTCCGTATATTCCTCCCAGTCCCTTCTTCCACGTCGCACCTCATCAACCTGCTCCTCATCAATCCCGCCGGCACATTGCATTCGCTTCTGAGAGGGGTGGTGGTGGCGTCGGCATGTTGTTCGATGCGTGCTGTGCCGTGCGCTGGCGCACCTGGCGCACTCTGCGCGCAGCGCGCACGTAGCTTACCTGGCGCGGCTGGAGCATGTGGCGCGCCGGGCGCATGTGGCCCAAGTGGCGCGCTCCTGGCTCACCAAGCGCGCGTGGCATGTTTGGACTCACGGGGCACACGGCGCACCTCACGCACCTGGTGCGCGTGCCGCATCTGGCACGCCCGAGGCTCCTCGTGAGCGTCGCGCGCCTGGCCGGCGGCTGCAGTAGTTGCCGATTGCTGCCGATCGTGGTCCCTGTACTGGGAGTCGTCCTTCTCCCAGATCCTCCTAATGAATTCCATCCCTCCTCCTCCTCCTGCCAACTTGTTCCCCTACTACCCCCTCTGCAACTCAATTTTTTCTTTTCATACATATCCCCCACCCTCCTTGACCATTCAGTGCTGTTTCGCATGAGACGGTCCACTTGCAATACTTGTGGGTTCCGTTTGGAGCGCCCGGGATTCCATTTTTTTTTGGGGGGGGGGGCGGGCAAAAAAGGAGAGGGATCGAGGAAACGGCCTGGTTTAGGCTCCGTGCCCTGCCACAGCCGATTGAATCTACTTTCTGTGGTGCCAAAGTCAGGTAGCTTACATCGTTCACGCCTTAACCCTTGCCTCTGGGCCATGCCAGAAGGCTAAGCTACTCCACTGCGCGAGGTGCTGACCGTGCCGAATGGCCAGAGCCCCCACATCTGCAGCAAGGGTGCCGAAATCCGCGCTTCACGCTTCGCGAATAACTTCGCGCTCCCGCGCCGCCTCCCATGGGAGAAGAGAAGGATCAGGAGGAATCGCAGCCGAGCTGCGAAGCGCGAGGCGCGAATCACTTCGCGCCTTCGATGGCGCCAGTGCTGCATGCATTCCACTGGCACTGCCAGCCGTGGAACACTCCACCGAACCGAAGCCGTTGCCCCCGCCTGGCGAAGGAGCATGCGGTGGGGTTCCCCCCACCACCACCACTCTCCACAGCAGTGCCCGCGGGGGGGGGGGGGGCATCGGCTTAGGAGGGGGGGGGGCCTTGATGAGCTCACTACTCCAGACGAGCTTGAAGCTTCCTCGAGCAGCGAACTCCAAGAACCATGCAGCTTGGCTGAAGAGCGACTTATCCGCCACCGTGCCTCTGTGCACGTAGTGAGCGTGTCCTCAGGTCCCTTGCCGAATCCTTGAGGCCTCAGTCCTCAGTCCTGAGGAGTCTTCAAGGGACCTGGGCCCCAAATTCCGAAAATCTCTTGGGGCTTGTCGCGTGCCCCCTGGGCTCTGGCGCGTCTCCCCGCGTGACTTTTTCTGGCCCAAGAGGGCCCCAAGACGGACCAAGAGGGCCCCAAGCGGCCTCCAAAACGGTCAAAGAGGGCCCCGAGACGCCCAAGGAACGGGCAAAGACGCCCAAGATGGCTTCGCAACGGCCCGAAAAGTCTCCAAGACTCCCCAAGACGCCTCCCCAGAGGGCCCCAACGCGCAAATATCACATGATTCCCCTTCGGTGTTTGAAAAATTGTGTGCGTTCGCGTCTTTTTGGCTTTCTGACGCTCCAACACGGCCCAAGAGACCCGCAAGACCACCCCAAAACGGCCCACGGGGCCCCCAAGAGGGCGCCACGGGCGGCCCAAGAAGCGCCCAAGACGGCCGAAGAGTTTTCCAAAAGGGGCCCAAGAGAAGGAAAAAACCTAAAATCCCAGCCATCCGCTCCATCGTGCGCCCAGGAAGCCCCGCGAGAGGCCCCCAGCCGGCCCCCAACTGGCCGAAAAGAAACCCCAAGAGACCCCGAAACGGCCCCTAAGAGGCCTCCGAACTGCCTCCAAGAGGTCCCCGAGAGGCCTCCCACGAGATCCCACCGAACACGCAATAGGCTTCAGACCCACAGCCCAGGAGGCGCGGTGGCGGGGTGGGGCCACTGGCCATTAGATAGCGCACGCTTTGCCACTCTTGGTCCTGGAGCTTCTAGGCCCCTCCCCCGCCAACGCCCGACGCAAGCGCACGCGCGCGCACCACCACCTCCTCCTTTCCGTCCTCCCTCCTCCCAAGACAAGGATAACAGCGATGCTGCTTAACGGGGGTGCTAGGAACCAAAGCTTAGAAAATCACGAACTACACTTTCTAGATTTTCCCATCTGCGAATGGATCGAGCGAGCGCGGCGAATTGCAAGAAAACGCGGGCCCCCTGTTCCCACAATACCGCAAGCGACATCGCCGCTACCTACATCGCCGTTCGCCTGTCTACGGTCCTCCCTCTACCACCTCCCCCTCCCTCTACCACCTCCCCCTCCTCGTCCACCTCGCGCTCCTCGCGCGTGGCCGTGCGCACGAGTCCTCCGTCCGCGCCCCGCCTAACGCCGCAGCTGGGCGCGCACCACCTGCACGAAGGCGGCTGCTTCGTGCGGGTGGAGAGTTCGGTCGAGGAGCCGTCCTCCTCCTCGTTCTACCACCTCACCTCCTCCTGGCGCCCTGTTGAGAGACCTCTCGGGGGGGGGCCGTTCGCCCTCCGTCCTCAGCGGCAACACCATCACAGTCCTTCGACCCCATGCAGGGCAGCGACCCCTAGGACGGGTCGATCTCAATGGTCCCATCCCCCTCCTCCCTCTCCTTTCCTCCCCGTTCTTCTCCTCTCCTCTCTTCTCCTCTCCTCTCCTCCTCTTCCTCCTCCTCCTCCTCCTCCTCCTCCCTCCTCCCCCTCCTCCTCCTCCTCCTCCTCCTCCTCCTCCTCCTCCTTCCTCCTCCTCCTCCTCCTCCTCCTCCTCTCCCTCTCCATCCCCCCTTCCCTCCTCATCAGCCCCTCCGCTTTCCCGCTCCTCCTCCTCCTCCTCCTCCTCCTCCTCCCGTTCCTCCTCCACCTCATCTTCCTCTCTCCCCCTCCTTCTCCCCTCCCCACCCTCTTCCCTCCTCCCAACCTCCCACTTCCTCATGCCCTTCCCCCTCAACCGCCTTACTCCCCATCCCCCAGCCCCCTTTCCCTCCCGCCTGCCACTCCTCCCTCCTCCTCCTTCTCCTCCTCCTTCTCCTCCGATGCCCCGCCTGGGGTCACGACGACCGAGGCCTGAAACTCGGAGTTGAGCGGCACGGTGATGACCTGCTCCTCGCAAGCGCGAGCGCGAGCGCGCTTCGCGGCGAGACCTCGCCGTCGGCGCCTCCAAGGTGACCACGAGATGGCCTGGAGGCCCCCCGCTGGCGTCCAAGAAGGCTCCGAAGCGGCGCGAAGACGCCACCCAAAAACACAGCCCCAAAACGCTCGCACGCGGCCCCCGAGGCCCGCCAGCGCGGCCACAATGCCACCGCCATAGGGGCGCGAAGACGGCCCACGAAGAGAGCAGAGGAGGGCCCCAGGCAGGCCCCCCGAGCGACTCGAGAGCGTCCCCGGACAAGCGCAGACGCTGGGCCGCCCGCTTGCGCGAAGGGGCCCGTGCCCCCGGACACGCACGGGTTGGGTGAATGACGGACGGATTTAGGGGGTGCCCGAGCGAAGTGAACCCCACCCTCCCCCTCAGAAATCGGGGGGGGGTAGGGGGGGGGTTCGCGTGTGGCCCCCGAGGATTTCCCCAAGGAGCCAGCGGGGACTCCAGCCTGTGGGCGCACGAACTGTTTCGCCTGGTGGCAGCAGCGGGCTGCAGTGGCAGGGTTCGATGTTCGAGGCGCATGCTTCCGCCGCCCCTCTGTTCCTTTGCTCCTACTGCTGGCAAGTATGTGTTATCCTCCTCCTCCTCCTCCTCCGCCTCCTCCTCCTCCTCCGCCTCGTTCGTCCTACCTTGCACTGGGCATCCGATGAGCCCCTCCTTCGATCGATCAACGGAACGGCGTACGCATCCCGAACAACCACACTCATGAGCCGTCATTGAACCATCCCTGGAGACGGCAATCGAGGAGAACATCTGCCACGGCCAAACTCATGAGAGCCGTTATTGAACCATCCCTGGAGACAGCAATCGAGGCGAAAACCCGCCAGGACGTTTTCCGAAAGCGATGCTTGCACCAATGGGCGGCCCATCTTCGGCATTCGTTGTCGTTTTTTTATCGTTGTCGTTGTTATCGTGGTCGCTGCTATCGTTGTCGTTGTCGTTGTTACCGTTGTCGTCGTTGCTATCGTGGTCGCTGTCATCGTGGCCGTTGCTGTCGTGATCGTCGTCCTTCTCCTTGGGAAGGGGTCGGGACCTCTGGGGCCGCGGATTGGACAAACCACATCGGCGCATGTCTGGGAACAGGCCTGCATCTAGCAGTCATGCCTCCATTCATGCAGAATTGGTGTCGGCTGCCCCCCCCCTCCCCCCCAGCCCCCACGTTGCCACAAAAAATTGCAATGGCTTCCCCTGGTTGCAACGGCTTCTCCCGCTATTGCAATGGCTTCCTCTGATTGTAGTGGCTTCCCCTGCTACTGCAACGGCATTATGTGGCGGCTTCCTCTGCTATTGCAATGGCTTCCCCTGCTAGTGCAATGGCTTCCTCTCTTATTGCGAGGGCGTCCTATGCTATTGCCATGATTTCCTCTGGCTATCCGAATGGCGTCCCAACAATCGCCCAACAATCGTCGAACTCAGAAGAATAGTAATGCATTGGACTGGAGTCGGGTAGAGTAGAGCAGCGCAGAGTAGGAGTAGAGAGGAATCTAATCGAGTAAAAGTAGAAGAGAATAGAGCCGAGTAGAGCATGACAGGGTCGAATCGAGTAGGGTAGGTGGTAGCGTCGAGTCGGTTGTAATATAGCACAGTCGGATAAGAGTGGAGTTGAATAGGAATAGTAGGGCAGGGCAGGGCAAGAGTAGAGTTGAGAACAGGATAATCGATTGGAATAGAAGAGGGTAGGGGTAGAGTAGTGAGGAGCATGAATATAGTAGAGTCGCATTATACGAATCAAATGTGGCACAACTTGATATTTGGATTGGATCGCGTCTCCAGCTCCCCAACTCGCGCGCACGGCTCCGCTTCCGACGGACCTGGCGGAGTGAAAATTGCGCGGGCCGCGCAGGCGCGGGAGCGGCACAACTTCCGATGGGCGCGGCGAAGACGAAGTGACGAACGAACAACACGCACCCATACCCATAGGGGGCTCGTTGGGAGGAGGACTGGCTGTGGGTGCGGGCTGTCGGACCCTGGGGAACGCTCCCGCTCGAGCGGGGACCCCCATCCGACAACACGCACCCACAGCCCTCTCCGACCCCCCTATGGGTATGGGTGTGTGCTGTTGGTTCGTCACGAGGCATGGCGCTGCGCTGACCACGGCACCGCGAAGGGAGCCCTCCGCCGCGCCCGCGCGGCACACACCACTGCCGAGAGCGAACAAGGCGCCACGGAGCCTGGGCGAGGGCGACCCGTCGCGCCACCTCGGGCGAGAACCCCCCCCCAAAGAAAAACATCGGCGAGCGAGAGGCGCGCGCCGCGTCGCGGCGGAGGAGAGCCACGTGCGGGCGAGATCTGCGCGGCGCCGAGGCGAGAGCTGCAGTTTCGTACGCTCGCGCGTGACGAAAAAGTCGCGCGCCAGAGAATGTGCGCCGCGCGCCCAGGCGGGTGTCTCAGTAGGAGGATGAGCCCGGCGCCGCGGCGAGAGCGACGTGTCGGCCGGTCGCTCAGGATGTGCGCCGCGCCTCATGCCTGCCGCACCTCTTGCTACATGGACGACGGAGTTCCCATGCTGAGACGAGCATCGTGGACTTCGTAGTGCCTTCTCACATCGGATGAAGGGTCCCAGATTGGGCCCTCATCGGCCCACTGGGGTGAACAGTAGGAGCATATACGAATGGGGGACATCAATATAATAGAGTAGAGTGGGGTAGAGTGAAATAGAGAAGAATAGGGTATAGAGAGTCGGGTAGAGCGAGCGAAAAGTCATACTTAACTACTCGTGCGAAATTAAACTACTCACATCATCACTCACATCGACGCCCAGCTGCGCAGCGACCTTCCCGATCTGCGTTGACCATTCCTTCCTGGGGCGGCCAGTCTTCCTGACGTACTCGTGCGTGAGAGGGGTAAGGCTTCCCGCGGCGAAGGTTCTTTGCCGTAGTACTTTGCCTGTCATGGCCCTTGCCACCCGTAGGAGAGTCGGACATAATAGAATACAAACTAAGTGAATCCAAAATAATATAATACAACATGACAGCGTAGAACAGGAGTCCACCGCAGTCCAGTCCACTCCACTCCAGTTCAGTCGACTTCAGTCCACTTCATTTCAATTGTCTGATATATTCGGAGCCCTGTGGCTGAAATCCATGGTGGCCGCCCGTGCGCTGGCTGGCGACTTTGGATGCATGCACGGTTGCACTACGTAGATTTCGCTACATCCGCCACGGTGTCGCTAGGCACTGAGCGGAGTGCCGTCAGGTCCCTCAGGCACATGTTTATGAAGTAGCGGATATGTGTGTCAGGGGCCCACTGGGGCGCCCATGACCGCCCACCAGCCAGGCACCTGGCGAAACCTCGGCGGATCCATCCGATGCCTGTGGCAACCAAGGTAAGAAGCCCCAAAGTGCAGGAACGGTTTGGGACATTAGAAGGTGCGATTGGACAAATGTAAGGTACTCTGCGTGCGCGCCCTTCGTCACCAACATCGTCAACACAGACTTTTCTTCGTCTCCTTCATCATCGTCATCTTCATGATCAGCATGTTGTTATCATGATCAGCAGCATCATCTGCATCATCAGCATCATCATCACCATCATCATCACCATCAGCATCACCATCGCCCGCGCCATCATTGCCATCGCCATCATCACCACCAAAATAATCTTCAACGTCGACGTCACCATCATCACCGTCGTCATCAGTGTCAACATCATCATCGTCGATGTCGTCGCCCCCGTCACCATCAAAACCATCACCAGCATCATCATCATCATCATCATCAGCATCATCATCATCATCATCATCATCATCATCATCGTCACCATCATCGTCATCGTCATCTCCATCGTCACCGTCATCGTCATCGCCATCGTCACCGTCATCGTCATCGTCATCATCATCACCATCATCCTCATCATCCTCATCATCATCATCATTATCATCATCGTCGTCGTCGTCGCTGGCATCGTCGTCGTCGCCGATGCCGCCGTCCCCAGTATCACTCGCCCGCCCGAGCCATGAATCTACATGAGCAGGGGTCGCACGCGTTTGCGCAATATTGAAGTGTGCAAGCAAATTCCGACGGGCAACCCCACTCACGGCCTAGCCGAACTTGACAACATATTGCGGGTGGGTGGGTGAGATGATTGCTCGAACATGGGAGCAACTGCGCCGCGTAGAGTGCACCCCGCAGCTTGCACCACGTAGGCTTGGCCCCCACCCCCAGACCAGAGTCATCGGCTTCCCCACCCCCCGTGCGGTGCGCCCATGAGCATTTGCACGATCGCCCATCCCATTAGTCAAAGGAGACGACGGCTGCCAGGCCAGTATCGTAACCCTCGCCATACCCTCCATCGCATATTGCGTTGTGCACACGCGTTGATATACGTAGCGCATGGTGTGTCAATCTCAGCCGGATGATACCATACGGTCCACGGGCCACAAGCGCGCGTCTCCACGCGCGCACGTCGAACTTCATCCAGAATTGATGGTTGGCTAAGCGTGCCGACGCAACTGAATTGATCAAGCCTAAGAAGCCCATGTGCCCCTGAACCAGCGAGCCAAACAGTCGGCACGCATGCGCGCGCACTTCATCATCATCATCGTCATCATCATCATCATCATCATCATCATCATCATCATCATCATCATCATCATCATCATCATCATCATCATCATCATCATTGTCGTCATCATCATCATCATCATCATCATCATCATCAACAACATCGTTGCCATCGTCGCCGACGGCACCATCATTGCCAACGTCACCATCTTCACCATCACCATCATCACCGCCACCGCTGGAATAATCAGATCATCACCACCATGTCGAACTGTTCAGACACGTGCCGATGGGCAACTTCACTCACGGCCTCGTCGAGCCGGACCAAAAATTTACGGAAGGTGGGTCGAGCTGGCTGCTCGAGCATGGGAGGCTGTCGCACGCGGAGGCCCAGAGCGCAGTCCCCGTTTCAAGAGAACATCAACCCCACCACCTGGTCCCCCACTGAACTCTCGGTGCCCCCTGAGCGACTGTACACTGCATGTGGCTTTACGTCGTCGTTCGCCTTCCTGGCGGACGCATACAATTCCAACTAAACCAGTGACTTCATTCACGCCATGCGCGCGCACTCGGCTGGCTCACAAGAAAACGTCCCAATAACCAAGTGCACAAACTGGCACAACAACCGCACGCACGCGCGCACATGTCGACATCGTGGCAAGCATAGCAATGTGGCAAGGATTCCAACATAAAGGCAAACAAGAAAAACAACAGTCGGTTCTTCATCGCTGACGTTCAGACCATTTTCTGCCGCGACCTGCGAACAAATGTATGCGTCTAACAATATCGTCTAACACCCGCGTTTTCATCTCCCCTGGGAAAACAAAAAGCCAACACCAGCACCAAGAACGTATCTGTTTCACGAAATGTTGAATTGCGTTTTGGACCAGCGCGAACCCGCCCTGGCCTGAGGAATCGCAGAATGGGCGAGGAGGGCGAACCGCGTGGGGATCGATCCCTACGCGGTGCATCCGCGTTGATCCAGCATGCGCCCGGTGCACGAACTGGAACCAAGTAGCGCGGGCCGCAGGCGCACGCCGCCTCGCCAGTGTGCCAGAAACCTTCCAAAACCATCGGTGGTGGAAACATGTTAATACAAAGTTTCGTGCGGGGGCACGAAGCGAAACAGCTGGGTGTCCACCGACCGTTTGCAGGGGTTCTGGGATCCCCGCTCGCGCGGACTTCCTCACCATGAACACTGATCAGCGCCGCCGCATCACGTCATCGTCATCGACAATCGCCGCCCTTGCCATCTTCATCACCAGAACACACGTCACTCATCAACAACAACAACGCATGGACATCAATACTATCATCGCTATACCAGCATCGGCGCCGTTGTCGGCCTTGCCGACGTCATTCTCATCGTTGCCGACGTCATCGTCATCATTGCCGCAACCATTTTTGTTATCATCATCATCATTGCCGCCGTTGTCGACGTCATCATGATACCGCACCCGCCCGTGCCATCGACCCGCATTGAGGCACCCGCGCGCCAGCGCGGCCTTTGACACGCACTGGGACGCTGCCATCGGTTAGCGCCATCGCAACCGCATCGGTTGTGCCACACCGGCTGGCCGCTTTGCGCGCGCGCTTGCGCAAACGATCGCGGCCGCGGAGATGCGCCAGCCATGGCCAAACAGTCATCATCATCGCCGCCGCATGGTTTTGCAAATGAAATTGCGGGTGGGAATGTGGGCTGACTGCGCGAACAAGGGAGTTGACAACTCATGGGGAAACCATTAGAAAAGGCCTTCCGGGACAAGCTGCAACGCCACAGGAGCCGCTGCAAGGTTCCTCGACCAACGCCCGAACGAACTCCGGGGCTACCCTTGCCTGCAGGCTTCTAGTATAAAGTCCTCTTGGCTCTCAGAGAGCTCTCCGAGAATACCTTCACCACGCAAGCTGCACCACATTATATGTTGCGCCACATGGGGCGCACATCGAGAGCGCAGGGACCCACAGCTTGCGGACTGCCGCATTGCTTTTCAAGGACCACTGTTTTCCTCCTCCTCCTGCTGCTCGGTGCTCATCCAGGGGGTGGCAAGAGAGCGGTTTTGTCCAGGGCGGAGGCGAAGCAGCTCGCGGCAGAACTGGGTTTCGTGCTGCCCGCCTGAGCGCGGCTGCGACCCGCTCGAAGCCCGCGGGGTTGTCCCAACGGCTTGATCTTGCGCGCAAGCGGCTCGCGGGGTTATCCCGACAGCCGGCGGCCGCTTCAGGGGATAGATGGGTCGGCAGCTCGCGCGGCGGCTGCCGCTGCCGGCGGGGGAGCGCGCGGCTCCTTGTCGCCACCTGTCGGGAGCGGCGCCCTCTCTCGGCTCGTCTCCTGCTGCCCGTCCTCTCCACATCGGCCATGTCCCCCTACAGGCGGATTTTGGACGAAAAATAAGAAATAGTCAAACAAAACTCTAGAAGAGTCAAACATGGTAGAAGAAAAGTCATCACAAGACTATGTTCGACAATTTTTGAATTTTCCTCCTGTAGAGGGACATGCCCGACGTAACCATTCTCATCCTCGCCCTCCCCCTGCGCTCGTGCTGCGGCCAGTGTCTCCCGATCCAGCTGCTGCCACCGGTGTCTGGCTGGGTGGGGGCCGCCTGGCTTTGTAGGGATTCGCAGTGCCAGAACTCGTCGAATTCTCGAGCGAGGCTGGCTGCGACAGCGGTGGCAAGCAAGAGGCATGAGCGGCTCCCTTCCCCCTCTCCTCCTCCTCCTCCTCCTCCTCCTCCTCCTCCTCCTCTTCCTCCTCCTCTCTCCTCCTCCTCCTCCTCCTCCTCCTCTCCTCCTCCTCCTCCTCCTCCCTCCTCCTCCTCCTCCTCCTCCTCCTCCTCCTCCTCCTCCTCCTCCCTCCCCCCTCCCCCTCCTCCTCCTCCTCCTCCTCCTCCTCCTCCTCCTCCTCCTCCTCCTCCTCCTCCTCCTCCTCCTGCCTCCTCCTCTCCTCCTCCTCCTCCTCCTCCTCCTCCTCCTCCTCCTCCTCCTCCTCCCTTTCCCATCTCCTCCTCTTCCTCCAACTCTTCCTCCTCCTTCTCCTCGCCAATTCCTGAGCGCATCACCAGCATCGCCGCCATCGTAATCATCGCGTCTGTCATTACGGGTCATCAATAGAAGCAGAACGCAGACACAATCAACATGAACTTTTTTTGGCGCTCCGCGTGGATATCTTGGATCCGCGCTGGACCCCTCTCCCTGGCGGAGCGCGCCAGGGGTCGGCGCCAGAGGCGCCGCCGGGGGGGGGCCCAGCGCGGATCCGAGAAATCCGCGCGGAGCGCCAAAAGTTTATGTTCACGCCGATTTCTCGTCTTCGATTCAGTTGTCATCACCCTCACCCGAAGGGTGGTTATTCCGATGTTGTTATTCGACTGCTAGCGTTGCCCCTGGCTTGCTCCGCAAGGGGCGGCCCGCCTTCGAGCGAGCCGGGTTCGCTGTAGGCCTGCAGCACCGGCTTTGGCGCCTGCGGCGCGCGGCTCTCCATACTTGAGCGACGGGGGGAGCTTGCGAACGTTTTCTTAACCAGCGTTGCGACATTGAGCGTAACAGGGGGGGGGGGATGGGGGAGTCTGGCTCCGATCCTCTGTTCAGCGCGACGGTTCGCAACAGTGCGCCCCAGTGGTGGGACTTCACCTGCTCGGAACGGGCGCTAAGAAACAACCAAGAGCTGGTCCATGGGGGGGTAGGGGGCGCGAGGGTCCACGCCGATCGGTATAACAATAAATGAGAAAACGATCGCATGGGCGGCATGGGGAGACTGCTCGCTGCTTGGGAAGGGGCGACGTTCCCCAAACACTGCTTGCACTGAGGGGTTCTCGTTTCTGGCGCAAGGTACTAAGCGTGTGGGTCGGTCTGGCGGCTATGTAGTCGCCGTCGCCGCCCCGTCGCCGCCTCGTCGCCGCCCGTTGTCTGGGCCTGGGGGTCGGTCCAGCGGCCATGTCGTCGTCGTCGCCGCCGCGATGCCGCCCGCCGTCTGGGCCTGGGGGTCCGTCCGGCCGCTGTGTCGTAGCCGCGGCCCGTCACCGCCACCCCGCTGCACAACTTGTATTCCCCTTTCCTTTAAAAATTAGAATCCCCCCTGGCTTTATCGGTCCACTTTTCCGTATTGCAATTTACATGTGGTTTTGCCCCATCGTCCATCCTAAACATGAACCGTACCACCCCAGCCAGGCCGGCATCGCCCCGCCGCCATCCTCTGCAAAAAAGTGATGTGCGCGCAGCGGTTTATCAAAAATCATCAGTTGTCAAGCAACCGTGCAAAATATTGACGAAGTGCACACGCGCGCGTCGTCGCGCGCGCATGCCGAAATCCAAAAACCTTCGGTTTGGAAAGATTTCAAAATCGAATGCCCAAAACACAAATAAAAAAACATGGTTTCGAAACACTGATTAACAACAAAAAAGCGTGCGCGCGCGCTCTTGCGATTTTTGAATGCGTTACATTTATATATATATATATATATATATATATATATAACAAAAAAAAAAAAACGTGACCAAACGGGCTTAGCGCGCCCGCGTGTCGAAATCGTGCGAACGCCTTGCGCGCGTGCCGTCGCGAGAATCTGTCGCAACAGAAAATCAAGTGCACACGCGCGCGTCCTCGCGCACGCATGTCAACATCACTATATATATATATATATATATATATATAACCTTCGATTTCGCGGCTACCAATATTCAAAAACACAAGGCTTCGCAACACAAGTTTTCAAAACAAAAGTTTCCGCCCGCGCACTCGCTAATTCTTGGTGCTGCCATGGGTTATTCAACATCTTCATGGGACTCAGCCAATCAAGCCTCGGGCGCCGCATACCGACATCATTCGCATGCCCTTGCGCGCGTGCTGGGGGGTGGCACGATCCGTGACAAATAACACCATGCAGGCCACTCTCGCGCGTCGGCCGCGCGCGCATGTGGAACTCTTCCAAAACCTTCATCACCGACGCGGGGACGCCGTCGTCGCCGACGTGATCAGCATCGGCGCCCGCGCTCGCCGCGCCTTCGTCGGTGCGAACATCGTCACCAGCCTCGCCACCATCATCCTGGCGTCTACCGTAGTCGGCGCTGCCATGATACCGCGCCCGCCCATTCCGCCGACTCGCACTGGAGTGCCCGCTGGGAAGTTTCCAAAGGTCAGCGCCACCGCGGCCCCGTCGGTGGCGCCAAACTAGCTGGCCGCTGCGCGCGCGTGCTGGGGCTGGCGCGGCCGCAGAGATGCACCAGCCCACGCCAAGCATGCATCGCAATCGCCACCGCACAGGTTTTGCAAACCAAATTGCGGGTGGGTGGGTGGGATGCATGCAAAAGCAAGAGATGTGTCAATTCATTGGTAAAAATCCAATGTGCCACATAGGTTGTGCCATGTCGATGGCACCAAAAAGATTGCACGACATATACTGGCCCACGTAGATTGCACAACAAATATTACACCTCATAGATTGCACAACATAGATTGCACAACAAAAGTTCCACAACAATTGCCACCGTGCCATGGCACGTTGAGGCGCCGACGAATGCCAAATGGTGCCTGGCAGGAAATCTATAGTTTTCTAGGGTGACCCCCGCCGTCCGTCCCACACAGAGCCAACTGTGCCACCGCTACTCCCGAAATCCCTGGGCGGCCATGGCGCTTCCCTGGGGTTCTCCAAGGGTTCCGGGACGGCCCAGGGAGGACTTCCAACAGAGCCTCAACAGAGCCTCCAGCAGAGCCTCCGGCAAGCCCGAAGGAACCCACATCAGCGTTTCTCCGTAGTCGGGTGACTGAGTTTCGCATTCTCGCCCTGTGGAGCTTTTCTCTGCCCAGGACAGCCCAATAAACCCCCGAAATGGCCTCGATACTGCCCAGGAGGGGGCGAAGAGGGCCCCCAAACGGCCCAAGCGGGTGCCAGGACGACCCAAGAGCGGCCCAAGAGGACCCGAAGCCTGCCCATCGGCCCCCGCGGTCCCCTCAGAGAGCCTCCGGACGACCCGAAGAGCCCCCAAACATGGACTCTGGAAGCGCTGATGCGGCCCAGCAGCGCGCCAGCCGGCCCAACAAAAGCACAAGAGCCCCCGAAGAGCCCCAAAGGCGCTGCAAACCGGCCCTCCTCCTCCTCCTCCTCCTCCTCCTCCTCCTCCTCCTCCTCCTCCCAAGAAACCCCAAGGAACCCCTCCAGACGCCCCCAAGGAACTCTCAACGGCCCGAAAATGTCACACGTCACGACCCCCCGTGCCCCCCTCGGATCGTCGCGGGGCTTTGCCGCAGGCTGCTGGATAGTCTCCAGCGCATGGTTTTTCAACATCCACTTGCCCAAAAAACTGCGCTCGCGCTCCTGCGAATCCTCGAAATAGCCATAGGTTCTTCAGAATGTTCAATACATGTGGCCAAACGGTTTTTTTTTCGCGCCGCGTGCCGACATCATTCGAACGCCCTGGCGCGCGTGGTGGGGGGCACGACCAGTGTCAAACAATATCATGCGGGCCACTTTTGCGCGTCGGCCGCACGCGCATGTGGAACTCTGCCAAAACCTTCATCACCGACGCGAGGACGCCGACATCGTCGTCGGCGTCGACAACATCGGCGCCGTCACTGGCCGTGCCGTCGCCGTTGTCATCGTCGTCACCAGCGTCGCTACTATCATCATCGGGCCTACCGCTGTCGACATTGCCATGATGCCGCACCAGTCCAAGTGGCCAACTCGCACTGGAGTGCCCGCTGGGAAGTTTCCAAAGGTCAGCGCAACCGCGGCCGCGTCGGTCGCGCCAAACTAGCTGGCCGCTGCGCGCGCGAGCATGCGCGGGCTAGCGCGCCCGTAGAGATGCACCAGCCAACACCAAGCATTCACCGCAATCGCCGCCGCATGTCTTGCAAAACAAGTTGCGGGCGGGTGGGTAGGATGATTGCGCGAGCAGTGGGGTTGACAACTGCGAGGTCCACATGTGAATTGCACCACGCGGATTGCACCACACAGGTTGCACAACAAAAACTGGGCAGCATAGACTGCTCTACATATGTTGCAGAACATATGGTGCACAGCGGATGTTGTTCACACATATTGCACCAAATCGTTGGCACAGCATGAATGCACATTTGCACAAACTGGTGCAACACAGCAACATGTATTGTTCAGCATGGTTCGCACCATTGCTAAACACACTGAGAATATGTTCTCGGGCAAAAAGGCTGAGGCTGCCTATGCTATTGGGACGTGGGTTAGAGTCAAGCGCAAACTCCCTTCCATGTTATCGCACCGCGACAAATGGGGAGCGAACGAGGGCCCGAGGGGAAGGGGGACAGCAAGGGAAGGACGAGGAGGGACCGGAAGAGGGTGAGGACGGTGCGGGCCGTCGTTGTGCCAGATAGAACCGCCGAAGCGGGGAGGAACCTCGGCGCTCGCACTGGCGTGCGAGGGGAGGGCCGGCCGCCAGTCCTCGGCGCAGATCTGCATCCGCAGCGCCGAGTGCACCAGGGGGAATGGAGCGAGGCATACGACGGCACAGGCCAAGAGAGCGGGAGAAGAGGCGGAGGCGAAACGACGGTACCTTGAGGCGAACACGCCTGTCGACCCGCAACCGCTAAATAGGGAGAGGAGGAGGAACAGGAGGAGGAGGAGGATGAGGAGGAGGAGGACAAGAAAGATAAGATGAGGAAGCGGCATTCGCCACCGCTGCGGACCAACAGCGTGCCCGACACCCCCGGCAACTCCACCAGCTCTGAGGAAACCATAAGGTACCGATACCGCCTCTCACTGGACCTCTCCCGGGGTGCGTTCTGACCAGAATTTCGAGGGGAATCCAGCGGTGGCGACGAGGGGAGGCCCAAAAAGGAGAAAGCGGACGAAGGGTAGCGGTATGGGTACCTTTTCCTCCTCATGGAGCTTTTATCTCGACACGCTGACAGTCTGCAGACCTCGCCGCAGTCTCGCCAGAGCGATCGCGTTCCAAAGAACGCGCGGGTCGGCGGGAACTGCCCCCTCACGGGCCGTCTGTGACGGGCTTCGGCGGGCCCTCCCCGTGGGAGTGGAGCGGGGGCCGGGCGGCCTAGCCAGAGCCGAGCTGAGCTTCACGAGTTCGTGGAGGTCGATAAGGAAGATGGCATTGCGCTCAAGAAACAAGTGCTGGGACTCTGGGCGCCGCTTAATGGGGGGAGACAAATTGGGAGGGGAAGGACAGTGCACCTCTCTGGCCCTCAGAGGCACCTTTAGCGGCCCTAAAGAGCCCCTGTAGGGCCAAGAACGGGCCCCTTTTCTGCAGCCCTGGCTGCCCCACCTGTTTATCGCCCCCCCTATAACGCGGCGCCCGAGGACTGGCCCCGCGTAACTATTCCGCTGGCCTGGCCAGAAGGAGGCGAAGCAATTTCTGGAGGGCCTCGGATCTCTCCGTCGCGCGTGGCCTGCGATCCCCAGGGAGATTTATGTTGATTGTTTCCGGTACTGCCGCTGCCCAGGGGGTAGAGCGGGCGGGCGGCGTGGGGCACGTCGGTGCAGGGGGTGCGCTGCGATCGCCATTGCACCCGCGCGAGCACCACCATGTGGAAGGGGAGTCCAGGCCCCCCCCCCCTCCGCACGTCAGGTTGTTACCGTTACTCTGCCTTGGTAACAACCATTACGGCGCCAGAGGATCCGCCACCGTGCCGCGATGGAGCGCCCTCGGGTCCCTTGTGGTCCCCAGTCCTCCGTCCTCAGGATTGAATAGTAAGGGTCCGTCCTCAGGATTGAATAGTAAGGGGCCCGCGGGGTCCAAATTCCCAGCTTTGCTGGGCTTCCCGGCGTGCCTCCCGCGGTTCATTGGCGCTTCCTTCCCGCATGACTTTTCGGAACCACGAGCGCCCCAAAACGGGCCAAGTTTACACCGAGAGACCTCTGACCTACAACCCATGCGCGGCTGCAGGAAGGCCGAAGGCCGGTGGATCAGAGTGTGGGGGCCGAGCGGTCATTCATTGTCCCTGGGCGCGTTGCAGAAGTGGCATTCCAGTCGGCGGATTATGCTTGTTGTGTTGTTGTTCTTGGTGTTGGTGTTGGTGTTGTTGTTTTTGTTGTTGCTGTTGCTGTTGTTGCGTTGTACTTGTCCTTGCCTGCGACCCACCCGCGACCCACCCCACGACCCATTGGAGGACCCACCCACGTGTCACTCCGCGCCCTCACCTTGGCTCTTCTCCGCAACTGCGGGGTGCCACGAATCAAATGGCAGCATCGCGCATAATCTCGACCAGAGCCGCAGGCCCTAGCTTTCTGCGTCACTTGCAGAACCGCATCGAGCTATGAGGGTCTCAGGGCCCATAAACTATACAAAACCGACCGTTGTGAGAACATGCGACGTCAGAAGTTGAAGGAAGGCCAGCATTGCCAGCATACACAGATGTAGATACATAGAGAGAGCATACACACATTGAATAGTTGTATCGTGTGTGCATACATAGAGGTATATACCAAGTATACACACATTGCATAGACACATGTATACACAATGCTGCTGTTACTCATACGAAAACACACGAGCTCTGGGGGCACGCAAGAATCGCAGCTCCTCTAGCCGTGGCGGGCACGGCCGGGCAGAGGCGCCTCCTGGCGCCGCAGCTCCGCCAGGCGCTCCTCGTTGCGCTCGCGCCGGCGGTGCCTGCTGCTCAGCGCTTTGGCACCGTGTCTCGCAGTTCGCGTCTCTTCTAAGACGAAGTCGGAACGGGGATAAATTCGGGCGAGGATCAATCGAGAATCTCTGAGACCTGGCGGCTCTGGAGGCTGCCTCGGGCGCCGCGGCCTTCTCAGAGCGTTCCAGAACGCTCTGAGAGCGTTCCGGAAAGCTCTGGAACATAGTCATCCTCGTCCTAGCCCCGCCCGACTTTCGCTGGAACGGACATTTCGTCGCACGAAGGGTGTATGGCGACCCCAACCCCTGACTTTGTGGGGTTCCTTGCGGGGCCCGAAAGTTGGAGCCAGACTGGGGGACATACGACGGGGCGGGCGTGCATCCTTGATCGGGGTGCGTCAGGATAGCTCCCCCGAGGGGTGTAGCCCCGAGTTCACCCTCCCTTCTGAGTGGCAATGTTCTGGGGGGGAAGTTCAGCAATCTGGGGAGAAGAGCCTCCTGCACTTCAGTAGGTGCCGAACGCCGAAACAAAAACAACCAAACTCAAACGACTCAGGGAGCCTACAGCTGCGCTCCTCCCCCCCTCCTCCTTCCCTCCTGGTGATCGTTTCCTCATTCGGCGTTTCTCGACATTGGGCGGAAGGGGGGGGGGTCTGGCTCCGGACCTCTGCTCAGTGTGACTGTTTGCAACAGTGCGTCCTATGGTGGAAACTGAACCTGCCTGAGACAGGCGCCAAGAACAGCCAAGATCCACTCCATGGTGGGGGGGGGGTGCGAGCGTTCGCGCCGATCAGCAAAACAATGAATAAGAAAACGATCACCTGCCCCTCGGGTCATCGATGCCCTGGGGAGGCGCAGAGGGGGCTAGGGTTAGGTCGGGCCTGTCCCCCTACATGGGGATTCTGGGCGAAAAATTGAAATCACCCCAAGAATATTCAAAGATAACAAAAAATGTCCCCTGACAAGTTTTAAAACTATTTTTGCATATTCCTCCTGTAGAGGGACACGCCCGACTTCAGGCTAGGGGCAAGAGGGGGGCGAGGAGGGGCAGCGGCGGCGGAGAAGAGGGAAGGGCAGGGCGGGAAACCGGGGGGGAGCGCACTTGGAGGTCGAAGAGACGCAGCAGCGGCACCAACCACGAGAGCTCGGAGGCCCGCGCGGGCTTCTGGGAGCGGCTCTCCCCCCCCCCGCTCCCGCCCCTCGGGTCACGAACTCCCCCAGCCAACGCGCCCCAGCGGGTCGAAGGGGTGAACAGGCGGGTCGAGGAGGAGGTCGGCGTCCGCCAGGGAAGACGCGCAGCGCTGTGGTGGAACTCCGAGGGCCTCCTGGGAACGATGCGACCGTGGGGGAGAGAGAGCACGGCCACGTGCACCGCAGTGCCTCGTTATGCCAGGGACCGCGGCCGCCCGGCCCAGACCTGCAGCCTGCGCCGAGGCGAGAGCACGGGTCCCGAAGAGGGAGTGAGGACGTCGCAGGCTCGGTGATCCTCAGCACGTGCGTTAACTAGGGGGCCACATGCGAACCCTACCCCTACCCCCCACAATTTCTGAGGGGGAGGGTGGGGTTCACTTCGCTCGAGAGCTCCCGAACGAAGTGAACCCCACCCTCCCCCTCAGAAATCATGGGGGGTAGGGGTAGGGTTCGCATGTGGCCCCCTAGTTAACGCAGACGAGTGCTTGTCCACAAGCGCAGGCGGCGAAGCTCTAATGAGGGCCGAGGCGGGCCGTGTGCCGTCGACGGAGCTGGGCGGGGCAACATACACACACACACACACACACATTGGGCCAACACGCGTCCTGAGGATCAGGGACAGGCGAAACTGCCGCTGGAACGCTGAGGACGAGGTCGAAGCTCGGGCTAAGTTGCCCCGCTACGCAACACGCAACACGTAGCGTATCGATACGGAGCTCAACACGAAGGCTGAACACGTAGGTCCGACGCGATACATTCGCCAAAACGTGGCCCAATAGTTACGTGGAGCCAACACGCAACGTGTTGGCACGGACGTCCTGAACACGAGACGCACTGCGCTTCAAAACGGGCGTATCGAGGCAACGAAGAGCTCGAGGGCTCGGAGCACGGCGGAGGATGTCGGAGGGCGTCGAGGCTCGAGGACTGGGCAGCCCGACCGCGCGCCCGCTCCGCCGGGCGCCCGCCGGGCGCCCGCCGGGCCTCCGGGGGCCCCTCCTCTGCAGGGGCGCCCCCGTCGGCGGGCCAGGAAGGGAGGCGCGACGCGCGGGGAAGGGGCGGGGAGGTGCAGCTCTCGGGCCCTGCAGCCCCCCCCCCCTCCCCTTCTGGGCCCCGACGCCCCCCCCCCCCCTGGGTGGGAGGGCCCAGAAGGCATCCTCTCTGCAGGCCTCGCTGCTCAGCCCAGCACCCACACACACACACACGCACGCACGCACACGCACGCGCACGCGCACACGCGCACGCGCACACACATACACATACAATTTGATCGCTCCCAATGTAACACGCGACGCCCAATCCAGGAGCCTTCTGCCCCGCTGCCCGTGAGTATAGAAGCCTTCCAGGTGAGGTCAGAGTGGATGGGGCCGGAGCGTCGCGCCGTATTGGCGATGCATCGGCCATGCGACGTCGGTGATGCATCGACCCCATCGGCATGGAGAAACTCTCTGGCTCCACAGCGAGCCGAACCGTCGATGCATCGGCGATGCAGGGCGATCCCTCGATACCCATCTGCTCGGACCCCGTGCAAGCGTTTTCTGAATCGGCGTTTCGACACTGGGCGAAGGGGGAGGGGAGCCCTGGCTTCGGACCTCTGGTGAGCCTTTCTGTATTCGGCGTTTCGACATTGGGCGGAAGGGGGGGTGTCTGGCTCCAGACATCGGCTTAGTACGACTGTTTGCAAGAGTGCTGCCTCTGGGGGGAGACTCCACCTGCTTGAAACAGGCGCCCAAAACAGCCAAGATCTACTCCAGGGGGGATGGGGGGGGGGGCTGCAAGGGACGGCGCCGATCGGCAAAACAATGAATAAAAAAGGATCGCCTTCGGACCTCTGCTTAATGCGACTGTTTGCAACAGTGCGTCTTATTCTACAGTAGGGGCCCGACCACAAGAAACCCAACCCTGAGACCCCAGGAAGTCCATGGATTTTTGGTGCGAGCGTCAAGCTTTCCATCGCAAAACCGTCGACACCCAGGAAACCCAGGGGGGCACCCTGGAGGCAAGCAGGGTGTGTCTTGGCATGGGCCTCCACTGCATGGGGGAGACTCCGCCTGCTTGCAGCAGGCGCCAAACACAGCCAAGACCTACTCCACGGAAGGGGACGGAGGGGGGAGGCGACGGCCGGCGCCGACAGGCCAAACAAGGAATACGCACACGCTCACCATCGCCAGACCTCGGACGTCGTGATTTTGTTCACAACGTCGATCCCCAGAGGTCTGGACCCCGTCCCCGCAGACGGAGCTTTTCCTCATGAGTCCTGTTTCCCCGGCCCCGAGGCCCGGGACGGGCCCCCGGAGGTCGAAAATGGCGACAAACCTCACGTCGTGTTTTTTGTTCGCAACCCGAGAGGCTCTGGGCCTGGAAGGTCCAAGAGTTATGTTGTTCCCGTCCTACTTGAGGACCGCATCCCAGAGATAATTTCGAGCACCCGGAGAAGCGTCAAAAGAATGTCGAAACAGTGTCGAAACGGTGTCGGGCGAGTGTCTCCCAGGGCCCGACACGTGAACGCCCTCGAATTTTGGGGGGTGCTCTCCCGGTGCTCGAAACTCTCCCTGGTGGTCGAGACTGAAGCAGGTTGGAGCAGCATTCTCCGAGAGGCGTGCGCGCTGCCGCCTCCTGCGGGGGAGGCCCCCCCGCTCGCCGCAGGGCAGGCCCTCCTTGCGCCCACAGCTCGCCCCGCGGGCACCGCCCCCGCCGCCCGCGGAGGCCCCGCCGGAGACTCCGGCGGCCTCCCCAGCTCGCCCTCCTCCTCCTCCTCCTCCTCCGCCTCCTCCTCCTCCTCCTCCTCCTCCTCCTCCTCCTCCTCCTCCGCCTCCTCCTCCTCTTCCTCCTCCTCCTCCCTCCACCTCGTCCTCGAGGTCCTCCTCCACCCCTTCCTCCTCCCTCCTCCTCCTCCTCCCCTCCTCCTCCCTCCTCCTCCTCCTCCCTCCTCCTCCTCCTCCTCCTCCTCCTCCTCCTCCTCCTCCTCCTCCTTCTCCTTCTCGTCCTCCTCCTCCTCCTCCTCCTCCTCCTCCTAATCCTCCTCCTCCTTTTCCCCCCCTGGGCGCTGCCCTGGGAGCCCGCGGGGTCGCCAGCTGACCCTACCACTCTCGACAAAATGAACCTCCAAAGTGGCCACGCCCCCTTCAGTGTGAGGGCGCCCTTTCGGTACCCGCACGCCCAGGAACGTCGTGGCCAGGGGGCATCTGATCGCTCTGCAGGGCCCAGCCGAAAGTTCGATGAGGATCGACATTGAAGGGGGCGCGCCAAGAAGTACGGCGCGTTTATCGCCAGCCACTCCAGAAACACACAAGCTCAAGGTGGATATGCAACACATGTTTGAGGTCAAGTTTGACGAGGGCAGTAGGAGAGAATTAAGAGCAGTGTTTTCTGTCAGGTGATGCTAAAACGTATCCGACACTCTGCAGGTGTTGCCCTGCCACCAGGCCCTACGCGCAGGCGCAGGCGACAGCGTCTGCAAGTACTGTCCAGCGCCTGCGGGCGCCTGCTAGGCTCATCCACGCGATGTCTTGGGGTTCCTTTGGCTTGCTCTATTTAACGGCATGCTATACGGTTCCTCCTGGACATTACGTATTGCCGGCCGTTGGCGCTGGTACAAGCCTGGCGATATTCTATCGTGGGCTCACCCGCAAGAATGTGATAGAAGCAGGAATGCACGGCAGCGACGAAGACGTCGTCGCCGCCGCCGTCGCCGCTGCTGTCACCGCCGCCGCCGCCCGCGCCGTCGCTGAAGATCGAGGATCGAAGGTCGTCCATAGAGGCCCTCGGATAGGTCACCTAGGGGGGCCGCCACTCCCGGAACCTCTCCCAGTGTGCATTTCGAGGCGAATCCAGCCGTAGCGACGGGGGCCTCCCAGGAGGCCCAGGGGTATCCGTACCTGCTCCATGCTCTGATCAACGTCGCCGCCCTCGTCGTCGAGGATCGTCGCGGCGGCGACGGGCGACGGCACCGCCGACGGCGGCGGCGAACAACGACGCCGAGGGGCCCCCCATGGACACAAACTGCCATACTAGTCCTATGTGCCTCTGTTGGAGGGGCGCGACCAAACCGAACATATAGTACAAAATCTTGTAGCATGTCGTCTCCCGAGCGGTATGGCCAGAGAACGCCTGCCACGAAGCTGAGAATGACTCGAAGATTTCCGAGCGTGAACATCGCCCTTTGTGCGGCCGGCGCACATCGGAGCGAGGGGGCCGAATAGGCATTCACTGTCCCTCGGTGCGTGGCTGAAGTGGGATTCCGCGGTGCGGATTGTTGTTGCGTTGTTGCGTTGCGTTGTTGCGTCGTTGTCGTCGTTCTCGCCCGCGGCCCGCCTGCGATCCACCCCGCGACCGCCCCGCGACCCACCCTGCGACCCACCCACATTGATTTGACGGGAAAATCTGCGCCTGCCGATGTGCAATGTGTAAAAAGTCGGGCCCTGCGGCGGGCTTTTTCAGAGCTTCGCAGACTGCCGACGGCCCCGCCGCCTATCGGGGAACATACAATAGCATAAACATAAAAACTCAGAGGTCCGCGCGGATTTCTCGGATCGGCACTGGACCCCCTCCCTGGCGCCCGGAGCGCGCCAGCTGCGGCACTTCAGACGCCGCCAGGGGGAACCCAGCGCGGATCCGAGAAATCCGCACGGATATCGTGAACGTCTCTTTTTTCGGCGTTTCGACAGTGGGCGGAAGGGAGGGGGGGAGGGGGGGGGTCTGGCTCTGGACCTCTGCTCAACGCGACAGTTTGCAACAGTGCGTCCCTCTCAGGGGAGCTCCATCTCTTCGACACAGGCGCCAAAAACAGCCACGAGCTACTCCACGAAGGGAGGGGGATGCGAGGGCCCGCGCCGATCAGGAGGATGAGAGAGAGGAGGAGGATTAGGAAAAGAAGGAGGTGTAGGAAGAGAAAAGGATGAGGAGGAGAGGGAGGAGGAGGGGGAGTAAATAGAAGAGGAGGGGGAGGTAGAGGACGAGGAGGAGGAGCGGGAGGAGGAACACCATCACAAATGTTGGTAGGTTCGGGCGGTCCCCCCCCCCAGCCGCGCGGCCTCGGCGCAGCGACCGCCGAGCCCGTCTCCGCGGCCGCCGCGCCGGCGGCGGAGACCTCCGCTATCCGGTGGCGTCGTCGCTGGCCCTTGGCGGCCCTCGGAGGCCCTCGGCCACCTCCAGCAGCCCAGGCATCGGTGCGGAGGGAGGAGGAGGAGGAGGAGGAGGAGGAGGAGGAGGAGGAGGAGACGGAGGAGGAGGAGGAGGAGGAGAGAGAGACGGAGAGAGGTGGAGGAGGAAGGAGTAGGAGGAGAGGAGGAGGAGGAGGAGGAGACGGATGAGGAGGAGGAGGAGGAGGAGGAGGAGAAGGAGGAGAACGGAAGGAGGAGGAGGAGGAGGAGGCAACGGCGGCGGGAGGGCTGCAGCCGCGGCGTCGTCGCTGGTCATCGCTACCATCGCCGCCGCCGCCGCCTGCCGCCTGTCGTCGTCGTCGTCGTCGTAGTCGTCGTCGTCGTCGATCATGGGACGTCGATCGAGGATCCAGAGCCAGAGCCGATGTTCTTGAGCGTCCTTGGCCTTCTCTGCTCCTCCTTGGGGGATGGTTGGTGGCGGAGCCGTCGCCGTCGCCATCGTCGCCGTCCTCGACGTTGTCGTCGACGTCATTGTCTTCGTCGTCGTCGTCGTCGTCGCAGTCGCCGTCGCAGCCACAATCGTCGTCGCCGCCGTTGTCGTCTCGTTGTCGCGGTCGTCGTCCTTCTCCTCGCCCTCGAGGAAGAGGATCACGAGTTTTGGAAGGTGCTCGGTCCTCGAATGCTCTGGGGCGGGCCGGGGACACTTGGGGGGGTTAGGAAGAGGGGGAGGTGGCGGTAGAGTCAGCAATGGCGGATCTGGTCCGAGCACCGCTGCCTCACTTGTCTCGTCCTCCGGGCATGAATCCTGTCAGCCTGCGACTGCGGCGCAGCGGGAACGTACTGACCCGGGTCAGTGCAAACCCAGGTCAGTCGGGCCTTACAGGATCCTTCAAGACCCTGCAAATTTTCCAGGAGGATCCCGCACGCTAGCCCGGGTCAGTGCGCCCCTGGCTCTGCAGGGTCCTGCAAGACCCGTCGACCTGGCTGACCCCCGCTTGCATCCACCCCCGTCTCGAGACTCCCGAGCGCACTCTTCTCGTCATCCTCTGGCCCCCTCGTGCCAGGACCAGGCTTCGGACTGGGACGCGGAGGAGAAGGACGCACCGCAGGACGACGGTGAGGAGGAGAGGCTCCTCCTCCCATCAACCTCCCACTCTTCCCGCCGCTCTCCCGCCTCCTCCCCTCAGGCAATCCTTCTCCCCATCTCACTAGATCTCACTAGTGCGCCCACAAAAGACGTATGCACCCAACCATCTATATGAACACGGCCCCTGAGACCCGACGGCGCGAGCAAAAAACGTCGTAAGAATCGCGGCAAGAGCCCTACACCCCATCTTTCTGCATCTTTTTTCGAGCTAGATCGATCCGTGAAAGGCCCGAGGCCGGAAACATGACGAAAACGTCCGGCTTGAAAAAAAATACGCCAGGATCTCACGGGCCCCCCCATCCGCGAGACCGGCCGCGTGATACGAACGTTCGCGCAATGCGTACTCTCGAAATACACGTGGACATTCATGTGCGCGTATACGTCCTCCTTTAGCTCCCAACCTCCCGCACTTTCCTCTCCCGCCCTCCCTCCCTCCCCCCTAGGAGTCCGAGGTCTGGACTCCTTCAACCTGGAGCCCCCCCGAAGCCCCGACTACGTTTGAGGGGCGCGAAAAGGTAGCACAGCAAAGAGTAGGGTATATAATCAGCTCACGCAGCTGGTTTTCCTGGAGCCTCCTGGCAAGAAGAGGGAAAGAGGAAGGGCGGACAAGGGAAGCAGCAAGACGGACCCGCGACCCCCCGAAACCCTGACGGGAATACCGTCCAAGACAGATACGCGCCAAGAGCGAGGGGATAAACACATCTCCTCCTCCTCCTGCTTCTCCTCCTCCTCCTCCTCCTCCACCCACCTCCCTCCTCCTCCTCCTCCTCCTCCTCCTCCTCCTCCTCCTCCATCTCCCTCCTCCTACCTCCCACCTCCTCCTCCTCCCCCTCCTCCTCCTCCTCCTCCTCCTCCTCCCCTCCCCCCTCCTCCTCCTCCACCTCCTCCATCCTCCTCCTCCTCCTCGTGATCCTCCTCGTTAACCTCTCTCTACCTCCGCCTCCACCTCCTTCCTCCTACCTCCTCCTCCTCCTCCTCCTCCTCCTCGTCCTCAACCTCCTCCACCGTCCCTACCCTCCCCCTCCCTCTCCTCCTCCTCCTCCTCCTCTTCCCCTCCTCCATCTCCCCCTCACCTCCTAATCCTCCTAATTCTCCTCCTACTCCCTCATCCCCCTGCTCCTCCTCCTCCTCCTCCTCCTCCTCCTCCTCCTCCTCCTCCTCCCATTCACTCTCGGTTGTTCTTCCCTCTTGGGGCCACGCCCGCGCCCTTCGACCCTCGCCCATCACCCCTCGCGCTCACGGCCACAGATCGCACCGCGTATCACTGCGTCCCGCGGTCACCTCCACGGTGTTGACATTTGCCGTGCTGATCGGCTCCTGCTTCGGCGGTGGACAAACCTCCTTTTGGTAAACCACCCTCTAGGGTGGAAACGGCCCAACACCGAAACCGACGGACCAGACCCGCAAAAGTGACTGCTGCGACGCCCTTTCGCGAACCGGAAGAGGGCAATTCGCTAATCGACGTGTGAGGGTAGGAGGTCTATCAACCTCCGACTGCTTCCACATTGAATTCCTACTTCCTCCATCCGACGGCATCACTAACATAGCGCGCGCATAAACACACACACACACACACACACACACACGCACGCACGCACGCACGCACGCACGCACGCACGCACGCACGCACGCACGCACGCACGCACGCACGCACGCACGCACCCACGCACCCACACACACACACACACACACACACACACACACACACACACACACACACACACACACACACACACACACACACACACACACACACACACAACGCACCCATTAAGCAACACCAAAAAAAACAAGAAAAAACAATGAAAGCAGCTCTGCTGGGCGGCGCTTCGCGGCCATGTTTACCAATGTTAGCCGGCGCCGAGCCCAACGAGTGAATGACTGCACCGTGGATGTGGAAGCTATGCAGAGTAAGCCATGCCGTGGTGGCCATGTCGTGCAAGATGTGCGGCGCTGGCTAGGTGGTGTAAGCCATGTGCTGTGTAAACTATGTGGCGTGAGCGATGCTGCCGTGCCGGCAGGCCAGCTTTCTGTGAGCCGCGCTGCACGAGCCGTGCCGTGCAGGCCGCGCGGCGCATAGGCTGCTGCGGCGTGGGCCGTGCGGCGCGGGCGCGGCCCCCACGAGGCGCCCACGGGCGGGCCCCCCGGGCACCACCTCGGCGGGACCCGCCCAGGGCGCCCGCGGGGCGCCCACGGGGCGCGCCCGGCCGGGGCACGGCACGAGGCGCCCCCGAGAGGCGCCCACGGGGCGACACCTCGGCGGGGGCCGCCCATGGCACGGGGCACCCGACAGGCGCGCCCACGGGCGGGCGCAGGGCGACCTTTGGCGGCCTCGCCCAGGGCACGGGGCGCCCACGAGCGCTGAAGGAGGGCGGGAAGGTGACGACGCCTCGGGCCACGCGGTGGATGGCGCAAGGAAGCGAAGCAAGGGCCCCTGAAGGCAAGCGCTGCTCGGGAGAGAAAAAACGCGCCGCCCTGGGGTCTTGCCAGCAGGCAGCAGCCGAAGGTGGCGGCACGAAGGCCGCCGCATTCCCGAGCGCCTGGTGACAACGAGCGCATCGGAAAGCGATGGGATAGGGAACCCCGGAGGACCAATACGAAGCCACGGGATCTCGCTACGAAGCCGAAGCAGCGACTGACCATTGGCAACGGGACACTGATAAATATGACGCCGACTGGCGTGGACAGTGGCAATCCCTATTGCAAACCCGTGACAGAAATTGAACTGCCCAAGAGAGCCTGTAGGAAGTCCACCGAGAGATCTTGCAGAGGCGTTCCGGATCCCTCCCCGCAAAATGTTAGCCCATGCACATAGCATAAGCAATCATCTGGCCCCAGTAGTCGCCGTGGCGGTACAAAACGCACAAGGATCTCAACGGAACCTCAAAGTAAGTCTACCTATGCGACCACCCTTCGTGTGGTTGGGGAGCTGGGGGAAAAAAACAACTGTTATCGATTGCGATGGGTGTGATGATGACAATGCTGGTGACGCGCCCTCGAATCGGCGACGACGTGTGATGACAATGTTGCACTGCGATGTAATGTCACGATCGTCCCTGCTTTTGGTATCATTCGTTCGATCCCACTATCGACCTTGCGGCCAGTAGTGGTACCAATGGATTCAGCGATCGATCCCACTATCGATCCCACTAGCGATCTCACTATCGATCCCTCCATATCAATATCCCTATCGATCTCAATCGATCGATCCCATTATCGCCCTCGCGGCCAGGCTTAGCACCAGCGGGTTCAGCGATCGATTCCACTGTCAATCCCACTAGCGATCTCACGATCGATTCCTCCATCGATCTCACTATCCATCCCACAACCAATGTCACAATCAGCATCATTGTCGATCTCACGTCGGAGCTCGCTGTCCATCTCATCCTGGCGATCTCACTATCGATCTCACTGTCGACTTCACTCTGGATACCAAGGCGGGCCACCCCTGGCCGCCGCCCGCCCACCGCGGACGGAACACCGAGGGGACACCAGCGGGACACCGCAAGGCACCACGGCGGGACACCACGGGCCACCGCGCGCCTACCAGGGGCGGAGAGTCGGTCCACTGCATCCGTAACTATCGCCATAGCCGACGGCGGGATCAGGTTTCTCGTGCGCCCACGCAGCTTCGCCTCGCCCGCACGCACGACATGAAAGCGGAACCGACACCGACTTCCTGGTGAGGGGCTCTCCGTTCTACTGCGATCTCACCCCCCAACCTCCGATAATTAATGTCACACGGAAATAAGCGGGATCCGAAAGGAATCTCCCAGACATCCCAACAAACAGGAATCTCGAAAAGATCTTGAAGGAATCTCGACGGAATCTCAAGGACAT